TTATACAGTGTTTTGAGTTGTTGAGAAGCAGGGAAAACCTATTGGGATAGCAGCTATTGCTCTCCCAGAAACTTAGCTCAAAGCACTGAAGACAACTTTTGAAGTTATCACCCAAACTATCAGCAAACACTTAGTTTTACAAAAAAGAAACATTACAAAGAGACCAAAAGGTTACCATCACTGACATTTAGCAGCTATTCCCTGTTTTGCTGTGCCTGCGCAAAGTGGTTAATAGCAGCCATAAAAGCAAAACTACTGAAAGCATCACTTTTTATAAAGGCTTGTGCAATATCTCAGTAAGATCTGAACATTGTAAGCATATCACAGAACACACTTCTACAGGTAGTTTAAAACAGCTGGGTATTTATAACTACCCATCCCCGTCGGCAGCACCCATGGGAGAAACACTGGACAGAGTATCAGAAGATTTTCAGTCTTAATTCTGTTGCTGACTTTCTATACAATATTGGTTGAGTTACTTCATTTCGCTCTGCTTTGCTTCTTCCCTCTTCAAAGTAAGAGATAATCATACCTGGAAGAAGCTCTAAAGCAAATGACAGAAGCACTTACATTTGTAATGCCAGATATGAACTAATTGGCTCTCTTGGACAGAGAGAAACGCAACAGAGATGCAGCCTGGATTTTGTAGAGTGGGTATACAGTCATTTCCACGCTCTCAGCTTGCAAGAGAGCATTTTATTAAGTCCAGAGAGAATTACTTCCATAGAGCTTCATGCAAATATGTGGACTCACTCTTTTTGTTCAATTTCTCAGTCAATAAACTGTTGAAGATGTTCTTGAAGATGTCCTTCATTTCTCTGCTGTCCTTGGTACATCGGAGTTCTGATGTGGTTTTGCAATGAGGGCTTGAATAGCTTCAATGTTCTTGGTGGCTGCAGGGACTGCTTGTGAAACTTTCTAGATTAGGCTGTTACATAGTTATCAGCTGCTGCAAACCTGAACCCAAACAACTGAACAGGTTGTTCCTTCTGGTCCTAAGTCAGCACAGGAGGAAAAAAAATGTATTTCCTATATCAAAGGCAGAGCTGTCTTCTGAAAAGAGAGAGGTGCAAGCAAGTAACACATTAAATTAAGTTTCTATGTATCTAAAGGCTGATTTGGGGGGAAAATTCTAAGGCATTTCAAAAGATAATTGGAACATCAGAAAACACTAAATAATTCTAAAATTCAAAGAATTCTGAAATTCAAGAAGTCATATTAGCATCTACCATTACCATTAACCTCTACTGCATACACTGATAAATTATTCAGTCAGTTAATGGCATTTAAATTTAAGTGCAGTTGTACAGTTCCCTAGATTGTAGTTAAAGTTGGTTCGAAATGCAGGGACTGGAATGCACTTAAGTGCTGGAATGGGAATGAAACCTCAAAGGCTAAAACTTACAAAAGGGCCTTGCTGATACCTACGTTTCTACATGGTAGGCTGGGAGCTAGTGAGCAAAGAGGCATCTAGGCATTTTGCCTAGAGGTATCCCAAGGTGTTACCTGCTTACAGAATGGCTTAACCTCTACAAATTAAGGTCACTATTAGCAATGCAGTTTAATGCTAGAATAGCAGATTCTGATGGGAACTCCTATGTTTATATACTAAAATTATATTTTATTCAGTCACTTCTGTTTGCTTTATAAATACTTTGTCAAATCTAATGTTAGTCATGGTACTAAAAATTGAGTAGTTCAGGCACTTAATTTGGAAAACCAAACTATGAGACTTCCCAACGGACAGCTAGTCACTTAAGAATGTGCTTGTTTGTCATTTGGCTAAATCAGACCCAGACAATGTAAGTATCATCAGCTGGAAAACTCTACTATAATTTAAAAAAAAAGAACTCCAGAAAAGTATATCTGAGTATTTGCTGATCTGAATTGCTTAATGTTTGCTTAAATACTCAAATGAAATCTGTGGAACTTAATTTTCATACGGAATCCTTCCGAAATTTGCAACAGCACAGAAAAGCCTTCACTGAGGGGGGCTGAATTTATTTTGAAAGACCACAAAGACAATTCCAGCCAAATTCTATAATGGCTAGGTGAAACAGCCACAGTAATTGAATCTTTATCCAGCATAAAGACTAGATGGCTTGTAATCCAGTATTACCGAATCAGGACGTATGTCCTGGATCATTAAAGGCAGTTAAATTAAATAGATAAGCAGGAAATCCAGACTAGCTTTACAAATCTGAAGTGCAATCAGCTATTTCCACAAAGCTAGTATAAGTGGCCCAGAGCTTCAGCAGTCTGAACTATGAATAATATTTATCTATTTTACTTACAAATTGTCCTTCACAGGATGCATGGAGCAGAGAATAAAAGGGTTTTGCTTGCAGGTAACTTTGGGAGAGTAAAAATTCTTACTACAGAGTAAATATATATTTAAACCTGTTCTTTAAAAAAATAAATACAATAAGCAAGGTACTAGGGTCCACTACTGAAATAAATAGAGGAAAATGAGGAAGGACATACAAGACTAAAAACAATGGCAAAAATACTGACTGAGTGAGAGTCAGGGCAGATTTTTTCAGACCTAACTAGTCATTCTTTTTTTCAGGTGTTCCATCCAAGACACAACAATTAATTGGGGGGAGAGAGGGTATTTTTTATAACTGAGGTTTCAGAGTCAAAACTAAACTATCTTTTGTTTGGATATGAACTTCTTTGAAGCTGGTCATGCAAAAGCTGAACTTGTCACTTTTGAAAATGCACTCATGCCTGCTGTTACAAAAGTCTGAAGCTTGGACCTGCCATAGTTGGGAATAAATAGAATTTCCATAGTGCTCAATGGTATAGGAGTTCCTACTTCTCTTCCCCGAGTCTGGATCCTTGGAGAGTCTAGAGCTAGCTGAGGCTTTAGATGCTGATCCTGCATGAACAAGTTTCTTCTTAGAGAGCCGAGGCACCCCAAAGCCTTTATAGGCTGATTCAGGAAAGTCAGAATCAGCCACAGAGAACAACTGGAAAGGCTGAAGTTAGAACTGGGTGAAAAAATGGACTGTTCAGCTTAACCAAATGAAAATTTTACCAAAAAAAAAAAAAAGAGAGAGAGAGAAAGAAAAAAAGAAAAGAAAAGTTTGAATCAACTTAAAATTTTGACGTTGCCTCTTGGTGGAACAAACTCCCCCTAACTTCATTTCTGCCCTGGTTCTCTTTCTCATCCAACTCTGGACAGAAAATCTTACTTTTTTCGCTGCAGCCACAAAATAGTCTTCAGAAACTGGAACTCCTTATTCCTTGTTCCTTATGAATCCTTGTTCTGCTCATTTCAGGTCATATCTGAAGCGACTGTAAAGATCTTTTCCTAAGTAAGCAATAGGGAGGCTTATATTCTGTTATAGCACAGCATATTCACAGAAATCAGTAATTATTGGTACTCAAATTTTCAGGGATTTTTTAAGGGAAATTAACAGGAAAAAACTAATGGAAGAAGCTCTATCTATATCTAATTTAAGTTACACTCAGCCAGCTAACACTTCTAGTTACATAGACTATATAAAAGCTAACACTTCTATAGTTACATAGAATGCACGTTCTTGTTTGAAAGCTCTGTTGAAAACATAATAAAAACTGAGCAGATCTGAGCAAAAAATACACATTCTGAAGAAGGCAGAGTCCAAGCTGATCACTTAAAAGGCGGTTGCTATATATGTGCTTTTAACTGATTGTTATTTATTCTGCCTGGAAGCAAGCCTACCATTTTCATATAGGTTTTTTAAAACAGTTTTATGCCACTGGGTAGTAACTATAAATGAAATACAGTCAGAACAGCTGTTTGTGTAATTGCACTTTCAGTGAAGCAGTTAAATCCCCTCCTCCAGCACTCACTTGCTTTCACACCCTCATACGCTTATTCGTATGCTGTGTCTTATCTCTTGCTGTCTGGCCTGTGAATTATGTGTCTGCTTTTACGTTTTCTGCCAGTGTTTGCTCATCACAGGTTGGTCGTTTTTCACCTACAGAGATATACAGTCATCCCAGTTACCAGTTGTACTTCCATGATAGAAAATGAAAAGTATGTCCTTTGTACTTCAATATTTAACCTTGTTTGTGCTAAAAGATACTGAAGATTATACTAGTCACAACATGCTTTTTTCTAATTGTGATCAGTTTGGAAGCTGAAAAATTAGGTAATGTTTTCTTTAGTATTCTATTACTAAAGCTGCTAGAGTCGGAAGTTGTCTTGGCCTCTGTCCATGAAATTCTGGGTCCTAATAGATCACTGTGGGGTTACGAGTGTGCTTTCCCATGCTACAGTACGTAACAGGCTGAGGATGTGCGAGAGACGAATTACACGGAATTGCACAGCAGCGTGTGTGAATCAGAGAATACTGCAGAGCAGCAAATGGTTTCCTAAAAGGAGCAAAAAGGACTTCATCAGAGGCACCATGTGAGTGGCACAAATTACTTGCTCCCTAAGGCCAAAGATGCTACAGCAATCTGGTCCCAATGATTCTCCCATTAAGCCACCATAACTCTCCCCGTAGGCAGCATGAAGAATCAGATATACTGGTGGAGTGACCATCTTACTGGTATTGCTGTGAAAAATGCTTCATGGGCACACGTGAAAGGAAGAAAACAATACCAATAATACTAGTAGTTTCAGACTGAATTACTGAGACACAGGTACATGCACTGTAATTAAAATTCTGTACACAGAAATGTGTGCTCAAAAAATTCAAGCACACATGCGATTTCTAGTAGCATATCTTAGAAGGGATCCCCTATCTACAGTGGCTTTTATTAAGAGATTAATTGCTGATAAACTTATCATGTCATGCACAAAAATCTTAATCACCTTTGGCTCTGTGATTTTTTTATAGTGCTTTCTTCTGGTCCATATCAGAAAAGCTTCTAGGAGAACCAATAAAAATAATGCTTCTGCCAACCGCTTGGCCCCAATACAGATGTCAAGGGAAGAAAACATAAGTTAAGACTTTGTTGGTAAAATACTACTACTACCTACAAAGGAAAAACAGACTTACATGATTATCCATTTATGAAATGCTGAATCACGAACCCAGATCTGCTGGAAACCTTGCCAGGATATGTTTTCCATTCTGCTAGTCTATTTTTTTCAATAGAGAGGGCATAAGGAACAGACAGAAATGAGTCCTTTCATGAAATCACCAGCTCTTTTGACAGCAGTTATGAGAAAATGATTTAACACAAGATTAAAAAAAAAAAAACCAAAAACCCCTCCAGCGGGGAAGTTGCAGTTTGCCAGCCACCTCCCCAGTATGGCCCCTTGAAATGTGACGGTCCTAACGCGGATGGGATTCCATCTTGAGAAGCATGCAGTTGTCCTACCCGGTCTGTGCCCTGCACAAGTCGAGAGCGATGACACTGACACCTGTATCGGTAAGGGCTTCACCTCAATACTAATAATGCTGCAACATGGCCAGCAGGTAACCGTGAAAAAGCACTCGCTGCCCAGCCAGGGCACTAGCAACCTGCTGACACAGGTGTAACCGGGCTGATTAGAGGCACAGTTATGTGGCCAGTAACACAGTGAACCTGCACGTTTCTCACATAGCTGCAGGGTTTCAGCAGGCCTGTGGCTGGAGAGTATTGCTCCTTGTTTCTGGCAGGCGCCCAGGGAAGAAGGGCACCTTCAGCAAGGGTAGAGAAGTGCTAGTTAGGATAGTACTTCTGAAATACCTCTAGTTAAAGTTTACTTCTGTGGCACAAGAAAAAAAGTTGCTTTTCTTGAGCTAAATTGGCAACACAAGTCACTCGGCAGTTCGTTTCCCAAGAGGACTCCGGGAACAAACGGTGCATTAGCTGCTGGAAAGTATAAAAGGCAACATACGCCCAAACTATAGTTACAGTTCCTGAAATGGCTCTGCTGCTGGCACTGCTTTACAATCTCCCTATAGTCAGTGTTTCCTTCATGCCGTTTCCTTCATGCAAGCTACAACTAGTAAGACAATACTACAGCAAAGGCTAGCTGGTGCAAATTAAAGCCATATGCAAACAGAACGCTGTTGAAATGAACACGCAAAAAAGTATTTTCTTTCCTCTTCTACAGTGTACAGCAATGATAAATCTTACCTTGTAAAGTACATCTCAAAATGTCATGGAAGTTCAGTTGAGTAAAACAAACGCTGTAGAACAGGACATGATATCTGGCACTACTTTAAAAAGACAGTTGTGTAGCTAAATAGTACTGCCACTGGGAGCCTGTTTTATAGAACCAAAAAAAAAAAAAAGCACTAAGAGCAATCTGTGGACAAGAAACCTCAGAAGATTTCTACTTCTTCACTTTGACTGAGCTGTGTAACATTCTCCTGACCAAAAACTCACTTTAACTGTAGAGGGAGAGGAGTTGCCAAAGGAGGCATGCTCCTGGCAACCAGTATTACATACTACAGTAAACCCAATAACCCAGGGTTTTACAAAGCAAAAGCCTAGAGAAAGCTGGGATTTTTAATGTTTTGAAAGGTTTATAAGGGGGCACATTTGTGCTTTCTCTCCCACTCAGAATCTCACCAGACTACTGAATTTTCAAGAGAGCTAAAGAGGTCAGGTCTTTTAAATGAGTCTATCACCTGCCATTTGCAGTTTTGGAGGATGCTGCTGAATGCCAGTGTCCCTCTTCAAAAAAAGCTGTTCTTGTCGCTTTGGCAATTCCGTTCAAGAGACAGTTCTAGCGAAAGAAACCATTGAAACTACTGAACCACTGAAGCATTGAAACATGGTTCTCTAGTACAAGAGACAATTTATACAATGAACATCTGGAAAATAAACCCAACTCCTCCCCACCCCAAAATCAAGCCTTTAATCACTTTGAAAATATTCTAGAGTAAGCAAATCTATTTTATTACATACTTGTTATGCTTGTACAGACATCATGGGCTCAAAAAGCGGTCCCTACATGTAGGTGCGCAGCTGAAAAAAAAAACCAAACAGAAAACAAAAATAAACGACAGAAAGGAAAAGTGACGGAATGTATAGTCACTTAAAATCTGGAGACAAGTGCTGGGAGACTCTCGAACGCTTTGCTGAGGACAGCTAGCAGGAGGTCGCTTCATGGAGCAAAGGGTGTAGCTATGCCATTGGACAGAGGCAGCAGCAGCATTCGTTATCTGCTATTGAGTAAAGAGCCTGGCTTACACTACGCAATTGCTTCCTGTCTCGGTGTGTGATAAGGACTGGGACAATCCACTGGGACAGTGATCCAGGGTCTTTTCTAATGCACAGGGGGTAAGGCAAACAAGAAACCCTAAAAGATTACATTTCATTTCCTAGCTTCTGCCAGAAGTTGTGATCCAAGGTTGAAATGTATGTGTATGTATATATATTTGTATATGTATGTATACACATATATACAAAAATATGTATACCTCTCTGTCATAGGGAGGAGTCAATATCCAGTGTTGCCAGGAACTGCAATTTCTAGCAGAAAGAAGCACCAGAAAGGAGAAGGCACTGAAGCATGACTTTGGCCTGAGGGATATAATTAGATATTTCCATAATTTTTTCTAGTTAATGGGTTTCTATAATATTTTAAAAGAGCTATAAGGTATGCCAAGTCAATAACATATAGTTGTGGATATAATCTTTTGAAAAGTAAGAGAAACTATAATTCTTGATCTGCTTGATGTGACTGAAATACGAAAAAACATTTGTGCAAATTCTACTAAACTGGACTTGTTGCTAGATAGAACTGTTAAATGGTCTATTAACTTTCATTACACAAAATTACAAGATTAAGATCACAGATTCAAAAGACTGCTTTTCAGTAGTTAGGCAAAGCTTTCTCAGACAATCACAGAAGGCTTTGAACAGATGATTACTGTAAATGCTGTGTGTATACTATTCTGCATTTCTATTTCAATCTTTTTTATAAATTGATTTTTATCATTTGCTTTTTCACAAATATATCAGGGCTTACAAACAGTCTGAAATAATATGAGACTATATTTCAAAATAGATACTTCCTAAAAAAGATTAGGAAAAATCTCATGCACGGCATTTAATTAAAATGTGAAGTCAGTAATTAAAAACATAAATATGAAAATACCAGGGCCTATTATAACTTTCTATGATTCAAGAGATGTAAAATAACATAGTATAAAATAAACTTCATGCTGCCAGAGAAACCAACATATATCATACTTGAATGTTACTGTACATGTTACCTTACTGGACTTAAGCAAACATTCACTTGAAACAAAATACACACACTTGAAACAAAATACACACTACATTAAAAAAAAATTGCAAGGACAAATGCATGTATATGTATTATGGTGACATTAAGCATAGCTCTAAAATTAAACCTGAGCTGAGTTTTATATGGAAAGCAGGAATTCAATCAACCCTCAATACTCTGCAACAGTAATTTCAGCCTATATGTATCAACCCTATAATCAAGAGCTCGCAAGAGAACCTTATGACAGGGATTCAGCTGGCCCATCATTTATTTTCTCTTTATTACTTTTTTTTTTAAATTAGCAGAAAGCCTCAAACAAAAACACACATTTCCAAACAAACCTATAGAGTAATTTTACACATCTTTACCACCAATCTTCCTTTTGTTATACGCATTCGTAAAAATGGTTTTCTAGCTTAAGATTGCTTTCACTAATCATTCATTAACAAATGTTATGCCACCCAGCATGTTACTGAGTAAATATATTTTTAGAGTTTTGTAGGCAATGTTTATTGGGTAATTATTTTTAAATCTTACTTTTCAATAACAGTTATTAATGTCTACATCAATAGATTGAAGACTAACAAAGAATATTAGCTTCAGTATTCATTATCCTTTTAAAGTTTTGTCTATTAATGCTCTCTTATTTCTGAATACATTAAAACAATCTCATAAATTACTGAGTCATTGTTTATAAAATCTAGAATAGTTTGTATTCCCTTATCTCCTTTTGAGAGCTTCTTTTCCTTACCGTTTTCCTGTTCAGTGAGTTTTTTAGTTTTAAATTTACTTTAACTATTTGCCTCAAGTTTTCAGGTCACCTGTACTTGGTTTTAATATTTTCATATACCTCTATGCCATGTAGTCTAACCCCACTAATTTGGGGAATTTTTTGATTATATCAACAACATTGGCACATACTAAAGCCTCATGTTTGTTGGCCCAACAGTTAGTAGATTATAACGTTCCTGTGAAAATTACTGGAAGGAACCCAGATCCTTTTGTTCTCATTCACAAAGAAAAGAGAGAGGCTTTTCTATTGTAGGCCAAGGGAGGTTTTGAACACAGTTCACCACAGTTTCAGCGTACAGATGAGATAATCCCTTCAGCTCCCTTCCAGCCTTTCCATGGTTAGGTGATTTAACATCTAATTTTATGTATATATGTATATACAAGTTTATACATATTACATCAGGCTATTTGTTGGCATTAGGCTATTACTATTATATAAAGAAGTAGATAGATTTTTTATCTTCATATCCTAAATTTGTCTTATTTCATATAGCCATATGTCTCTGTACTGCAGCATAACTGTTTGTTACTGGTTCTGTTTCCCTAGAAGGTAAACTGACATAAACGTTTTGTAATTCAGCTCTTTTTATACAGTAATGATGTTTTCCCTGTCAAATAATGTACGCAGTTATCCAGGTCACTGATAAACTAACGACAGGGTTTCTGAACAGCTAATTCCTAAATTCTAGTTGCTAAAAGGCATTGAACTCTCACCTTCCTCAAGCACCGCTATGAAATCCATTTGCATCAGCAAAAATTTGTTTTCTTTAGGAAATATAGAGATGCTAGCAAGTATGGTCTTTGCAAGTTTGTATCACAATAGGGTATGTGCAGAAACACATCTCATTCCAGCAACGGGATACTTTACCACTGTTGGCTGTGCTGTAAGGCTCCACGCAATAACACTATGATGAGTTTACTCACGATTTACATTGCAGTTACACTGGCTTTCCACTAGATGACAATATATTACAGCAGATATGATAATAGAGGTCAAATCATATTAGTTTAAGCATAATAACAGATACTTTTTCATGTATGCCGTTAGCCTGATCTGGAGCAAGACTTATACAGTTAACACTTCATCAGATTTGTATTAGCTACCGGTCATTGCCACAGTCTTAGCAGGAGTCCATTATGTCCAGCGTAATTAAAAAGATTCTCCAGGTTTACTAGGTCTGTTTTTGTAAATTTAGCAGATATCTAACCAGATGATGATGCTCTGAAACCTTTGGGAACGAGAGTCAGGCTGGTCTGCGAGCCCAAACGGAGACAGAATGGGAAATCTCATTGCCACCCAGCCCCAACTTTAGATGCCATTTGATCCAGTGCAATCACAGGCGTGCCCTGCAAATTAGGATGAAGTACAGATCCATGATATAGACACAGAGTGAATGTCTGTTTGCACAACTCTATTTATACATAGCACCACGGAGGGAACACAAAACATTTGATATTCAGTGTGAGATACGCTCTGGTAGTGACTGGAGGCTCCAATTCTGCAAAGATCTCACTGTATTAGACACTGGGCAAATCTGAGAGCAACTGGTAACTCTTAGGCTGAGGGGCTTACACACAGGAAAGAAAGATAAGGTATTTCTTAGCAGCTTGAAGCCTCCTATTTGTCTTATAACAACCATGGAGCTGCCCCTTATTATTTCTCTATTCTATGAGCTAGATTTTATTTCTACACTTTGATTGATGATAATCAGATAAACAAGCTTTTGTTGCAGACCAACCTTTGCAAGTTAGCATGCAACTTTATGTTGGATATGTTTGAATGACCAGAAGACACGCGTGGTAGGAAGTACCTGTTCACTTGGCCTGGCTTCAGTAGAAGGGACAGTGTGTCCTCTTACCTACCCCCAACCCAAACCCAGTGGCAACAGAAAACTCAGAACATGCAAATTATAGTGGTTTCCCAACAACTGGACAAGTGCCACACGGGCTGCTATATAGAAATCAGAATGACCAGTACTCATACACTTAAATTGCTTAACTGGAGTTATTCTTAGCTATACATTTTAGCTTCACAGAGGAGCTTAATTGCAATGTTTGGTTAGATCTCAAACTCAGCATGGGTGAGATAAGCTACTTCCCCACTTCACACTCTGTTTGCTATGGTTTCCCTTTGGCAGTACTATCCACTGACCTGGAAATTTAGGCACTGAAATTTCATTTTTATATTAATTCAGCAATTTTATTGTGATTTCACAGGTTCTCATGCAGCAACATTCTTCTTCCCCAGTAGGTTTTATATTAGTTTCATTTGCATCCCTTTGAATGAGAGCCCTGCATAACACAAATGAAGCAGCCGCTTCATCAATAAATTTTTAAAGAAACCTTTTGCAACCCTTTTGGCTGGCTTTGTGAGAGAAGCTTTGACAAACAAATGAGAAAATCTATACTCACACGTAAGGAAAACCAAGGAAGCAAGATAAGGTGGAAACAGGTAGCTACTACTCTGTACGTTTTCTCTCTCATGATACGACGTCAGGATGCCTTTTTATAAGATGCTATATATTTCCTTTTTCTCCATGTACATCTGTTTCACACTGAATTTGGGCTTCCCACATTTCACAGGTTAACCACCTGTGAAATACATTACAATCAGTATTTACACAGCAAGATGCTACAAGTAGTATTGTCTGTGCTGTGGTTATACTCACTTACATCCATCAGAGTCCTAATTTTCACTCTTTGTCCTAACAAAGACCTTAAAAATATCTACTATGTATCTATTGTTGGTACCCAGAGACGAGATTGGAACCAGAACAGCTTCTCACATCAGCAGACAAAAAACTTACTTAAGATTTTGAACATGCAAGATAATGATTAACAGAGCCTTGCAATACAGAGCAGACTTGGAGATTCATGCGACATAATAATAAGGGGCATATGAAACTGGTAATTGCATATAGAGTGAAAAAAATAAATCTTAAAAGAAAAAGAATAAATATTTAAAACTAAAGGACTACTTTGAAATGCTAACAGATAGCTAGCTTATTCAATAAGATTTTCTCCTCTTAGGTAAGTTCATAAACTGATTTCAGAAGCATATTTTATAGTTTCTGTAAATGAGATGCTATAGGTGAGTACACCTTTAGTTTCAAACACCAGCACTGAGGATACACTTTACTCACTGGCAAAACATGAGAGTTAAACATCCTTGTTCAGTACCCTTAACTCTTGAGTAGGACAGCTGATATCTCCCTGACTATCTGCGACCACGGGGAATTCCTTCCTCATGGATTTGTTCTTTCATAACGGCTAGTACAGCCTCCGCTTTGCCTTTCTCACTTAAAATAACAATGAGGTAGTCAGTACCTTTATCAGATTTTCTCACTTGTGAATTCCTAGGGATTTTTCTCCCTTCTGCTTTAAAGACCTGTGTTGAATATATTGCATTTGATTTTTTTAAATAAAAGAATAAATGAAGAAAAAATATTTCACACAGCAAAT